TTGTGGTTTTGTTTTTTCTCTTCGTGTTCTGGAATTCCAGTGACACGTAAGTTATTCCTCTTGATGGTATCCCACATGAACCTTAGGCTTTCTTCGTTTTGTTTTGATTTTTTTTCTGATTGATCCCTTTCCAAAGAAGTATTCAGGTATTTGTTTTCAATCTCATTAATTCTGTCTTCCATTGCATCAGTTCTATTCTTTTGCCCTTCCAATTTGTTATCTATTTCTGACAATGTAGTATTAATCTTCTGGATTTCTGTCTATAGATTTACAGTCATTTCTAATTTTTTGTTTATTTTGTCATTTTGTTCTTATATTTTCTTCCAGAATTCTTATAGGGTTTTTCCTGTGTTTTCTTTGGTCTGTCTCTCAGTCCTTTGAAGATACCTAAATATAATTCTTTTGATATCTTTATTAAAGAGTTCTGATCCCGCTTCTTCCTCAGGGATGTGTCTGGGTCTGTATCTTGCTCCCTTGTTTCTACCACTTTATCCTGCTTCTTTGTGTGTACTGTGATGGTCTGTTGTCTCCGAGGCATCGTGGCATTGTTGTATTTAGATCTCTGTTAACTGTTTGTGAAAAGAAGCCAAAGATGATTCAGGCTCTTCTTGGTGGTTTTTTATCGTTGGCCTGTTGGTGGAGAAGGAGGTAGTGGCTCTCGCTCATTAAGTGAGGTTGCAGAAGGTGTGGGTGTAGGTTGTGTCTTATGAGGACTGTTGTTGTCTCCCCCTTAGTTAGACACAAATTACAATTGAATAATAGATCTGGGACATTTTTAACTCCTGCCACATAGGAGCCAGCTTTGTACTGATTCTTGTTAATGAAGTAATACATTTAATTACATTCTTGTTTTCATGTATGTTGTACTTTTGTTTTCGTGTGTGTGTGTGTATGTATTGTTTGTTCTTAACTCTTGCTTTTTTATAGCATCATATGTCATTAAAATGCATCAAAAGGAAAGCTATATAGTGTATTGTGTTTACTTTTTCTGTTCGTCTTCACTCCTTCCCATAAATTTAGGATATTTTATTTCATACTGAAGCTCTTCTTACAGGGTAGATTTGCTAATGATACATTTTCTGTAATTTTCATCTAAAAATATATTTTGCATCTGTTCCTTTTTTTTTCAGGAGTGTTTTGCTAGATAAAAAGCTTTTGTTTATAGTTTTTGAAATTATTTAATATTTTGAATATGTTCCATTGTTTTCTGCTTTCATGGTTTCTAGTCAGGTGTTATGTGCCATCTAGTCAGACCTGACTCATAGCAGCCCCTCCTTGAGTTTCCAAGGTGATATTACTACGGAAGTAGATTTCCCAACTTTCCTTTCGAGTAATGGCTGGTGAATTTGAACTGCCAGCCTCCTGGTTAGCAGTTAAATGCCGTAGGCACTATGCTACCAGAACTCCTGATCTCGATATATTATAAAGTAAATATAACCCAAAATCCCATTGCTATTGAGTCAATTCTGACTCACAGCAATCCTATTGAACACAGTAGAACTCCCCCATAGGTTTCCAAGTCTGTATTCTTTCCAAAAGTGGATTGTCATATCTTTCTCCTGTGGAGCAGCTGAGAGGTTCAGACCACTGACCTTTTAGTTATCAGCTGAATGCTTAACTACTGCACTACCAGGGCACCTTGCAAAAAATTATAATTATCATTTATTAAACAAATGTCATGTACCAGGCCTGATGTTAAGAAGCACTTTATAGAAATTGTTTGGATTAATTTTCAGAATAGCTTCCATGTTCAAATTTTTAGAAATTGAAGAAATTGTCAACTAATTTAAATTCACATAGTTAATAAATATTGAAGATAGAAAATGCAGTCAGTCTTTCTTATTCCATGTTATTGTTGTTGTTGTTTGCCATCGAGTATAGTGACCCCTCCTTGGGTTTCTGAGGCAGTGTCACTACAGAAGTAGATTGCCCCATCTTCCTTCCGAGGAGTTGCTGGTGAATTTGAACCGCCAGCCTTCTGGTTAGCATTCAAGTGCCTTAGGTACTATGCTACCAGAGCTCCCATCATAGTCCTGGCTTTTAAGGTCTGTGACTGCTTTCCTTTTTTGTTGCTGTTAATGTGGTATTTTAAAGGTAGTTTTCTTTTTTAAAAATTAGTTTCTAAAGATACTAATGTCTGGTTAATAGGATAGGCAGTCCTAGGTTACAAACATCTGACTTAGTGCAACTCATATTATAAACCAACCCCCACTGGGGTCTATTTGTATTAAAAATGTGAGTTACATACAGTAGTTAGTAATAATAAATAGTCACTACTCTGCAAAGCATATCAAAACATTGTTGTTGTTGTTGTTATGTGCCGTCGAGTCAGCCCTGACTCATAGCGACCCCTCCTTGGGTTTCCGAGGCAGTATCACTACGGAAGTAGGATTGCCCAACCTTCCTTCCGAGGAGTGGCTGGTGGGTTTGAACCGCCAGCCGTCTGGTTAGCAGGCAAGTGTCTTAGCCACTATGCTACCAGAGCTCCCTAACAACAAAGCTCCCTAACAACAACAACAACAACTCTGCAAAGCATATCAAAACATTAGTCGTAGTAGTAGTATTGTAATATGATGTTAACAGATGTTTTAGCGCATCACGAGGTTTTTCTTTAATGTTTTCTATGCATAGAAAGGTATACTGTATACTAAGACAAACTTTTGACTAACTGACGTCAGACACAAACTGTACCTAACTATTCCTATTTACATACAAATTAATCTGAAAGACAGTTTTAGGAATAGAACTTGTTCATATTCCAGGGACTGCCTATATAGCATACTGTATTGTACTGTACTTTCTTAGTTAAGTAGTATTGCTATAACATAAATATCACAGGTATATCCTTGGAAGGAAGGTTGGGCAATCCTACTTCCGTAGTGATACTGCCTCGGAAACCCAAGGAGGGGTCGCTAGGAGTCGGGGCCGACTCGACGGCAAAACAACAACAACAACATATGCCTTTAAAGAAGAGAAATTTATTTTCTTAAAGTTCTAGCTAAAAGTCCAAATCAAGAACTAGGCCATACTGGTTAATTATCCTGGACATTCCTCGATTCCTTGACCTCAGACAATCCTCACATGGCATCTGTCTTCCTCTGTGTGTCTCTCTTTCTGTTGTGCTCTTTTTATAGCTCAGTAGTGAGTAGATTTTGGGCCCACCTGATAATATTATGGCCTTCTTAATGTAACAGAAGAAAACCCTATTTTCAAATAGGATCACATCCACAATTATAGAGCCAGGAATTCAACACTTACTTTGGGGGACACAGTTTAATACATAACATAAGTACCATGTATCATATTTTCCACTTAAAAAAAAAATAGATTCTTTATGTAACTTAATACTAGCTTTGAAGATTGCCTTTTGTGTTTCAGTGGATTAATAGTGATAACTTAGGTTAGGATTAGTCAGCATTTTAAATGTTGGAAAATTAGTGAGCTTTGTGTTTAAATCACTTACAACTTTAAAGCATTTACTTTTAATCACTTTTAATAGCTCTGTGGAATTGATAGGTTAATTTTGTGAACTTCTAGATTCTCTTTTGAAAAATATTTGAGAAATATTTTTGCATGTATAATGTTAAACTCAAGAATATCCTGGGGCATTTATTTGAACAAACTGTGTTTCTACAGGTAAAAGCCAATTATTGGTCCACATGGAACCAGGCTACTCATTATACTTGTATCTCCTCACTGTTACTTCATTTTCAATATACATCTGCCAGAAATTCCTTTGCAAATTGCAAGAATTTGTTTTTCAGACTGGGAAAGCCACAGCCAGTGATTCGGGTGGTGTCATTGATCTCACAATGGATGATGAAGAGAGTGGAAGTTCACAAGGTACTGAAATAGTAATTGTACTAAAGAATTCTTTGATATTTTATTTCTCAATACAGTACAATATTTTATGAAATATATCTCTACAACATTATGTTGGGTGTATTTGTATTCCCTTTTGGAATTAAATAATGTGTGTGGGCAATGTTTATTCTGTTGGATATAAGGTCACTATGAGTAGGAACTGACTCAGTGGCACCTAACAACAATGACTATTACTGCCTTAAAAAACCAGACCCATCACCATCAAATCGATTGACTTATAGCGACCCTATAGGACAAAGTAGAATTGCCCTATAGGGTTTCTAAGGCTGTAAATCTTTATGGAAGCAGACTGTCTCATATTTCTCCCATGGAGTGGCTGGTGGGTTTGAACCACTGACCTTATGGTAATCAGCTGAATGCTTTAGCCACTGAACCACCAGACCTCCTTATTATTACCTTACAAAATAACCTGAAGATTTAAAAACTCAATGTAGGGAATAAGATAGTTCAGTTCATTTCAGGGGGAAAAAAAAAAAAAATAGCTTTGGAATTGAATATGGGACCAAAACTCCAAACTCACTGCGATTGATTTAATTCTGGCTCACAGCAACCCTCCTTGTGTTTTCAAGGCTGCCAATCTTTATGGAAGCAGACTGCCCCATCTTTTTTTCACAGAGTGGTTGGTGAGTTCAAACCACCAACATTTCGATTAGCAGCCAAATATCTGAAACCACTGCACTGTGACAGTAAAGTAAATTTTGAATAAAACTGAAGTGATTTAAAATTAATATTGTAGGGAATAAGATGGTTTAGTTGATTTTAGGAATACAAAATTAAGTAGCGTTGCAATTAAATATATTGACAGTGGAGTCAATTTTATATAAAATTCAAGTAAAATTCAAAATTAAGTAGCGTTGCAGTTATTGACAGTAGAGTCAATTTGATATAAAATTGAAGTAAAATCAAGAGATTTATATCATTATTCATTAGAACTGAGCTCATACCAATATGATTATTCTTAACAAGCTTCAGATTATCTCCATTGCTTTCCCAGGCCTTTTTTTAAAAAAAAATACAACTATCTGAATATAATTTAGCCTTGTTGTTGTTGTTGTGTGCCGTCAAGTCGGCCCCGACTCATAGCGACCCTTCCTTTGGTTTCCGAGGCAGTATCACTACGGAAGTAGATTCCCCAGCCTTCCTTCTGAGGAGTGACTGGTGAATTTGAACCTCCAGCCTTCTGGTTAGCAGTCAAGTGCCTTAGGCGCTACACTACCAGCGCTCCCTTAATGTAACCTAGAGGACAAAAATAAACACAGGTCATTTTTGAGAGGACAACAGGTAGGACTGACTTTGAATAGAAGATTAAGTAAAGATTCTTTTCAGTACTCATGACAATCTCCCTTTCTAGCATCCCTGCCTCATGGGATCTCTTCCATTGCTTTACCTTTGGTTAGATGCATCTTAAATTCTGCCATTCTCAAGTACATAGCTCTCTAGTAGCATCCAGTTATAGTATCAGGTGCTAAAGTTTTTAATTTCATTTCTCTTTTAGTAAAAAAATGCCATAAGAATGAAAATCAGCGGGGGATGGGGTGGGGTGGAGTTCATTTTAGATAGAAGTACTTTTAGCTTATATACTTTATATTAGCGTTTAGTGGTTTCCTATTTAAGAGCTTTGAGATACAAACATCATTCAAGACATTTTTTATTCTTTGTGTATTTGATTTTGAAGAATGGATAATGAGAACAAGCAATCATCTTGTGTTATTAGAACCTAAAGAACAATAGAGTATTTGGAATTCATGATCATTGATGAGACAACTCATCAGTTTATAGGTATTTGCCTAGAAGAATATCCTTGATATGGCTAACTAAATATGGATATATATAGTCATGTAAACCAAACCAAAACAAACTCATAGGCCTTCAAGTTGACTCTGACTCATAAGCAACCCCCATTGGATTTCTGAGGTGGCAGATCTTTACCAAAGTAGATTGCCACATCTTCCTTCCACTGAGCAACTAGTGGGTTTGAACCGCCAATCTTATGGTTAGCAGTCAGATAAATGCCTTAGGCACTGTGCCACCAGAGCTCCTTATATAGTCATATAAGCAATGAAATTATTGTGATTGATGTGATACTGTCTTGAATCCAGAGGTAGGATTTATCCATAAAGAAATAAACAAAACATAAAACTAAATTTTAGTAACTGTGAGTTAAGAATCTACCATAGGACCAGTAAGTTATTTAAGCTCCCTCACTCAGTTTTCAAATTGACAAAAATAAACATAACAGAAAGAAATTTTTTTCTTAGAGATAAATGTGATCCCCAAGTGGCAAAACCAAAAAACCAAACCCACTGCCTTGAGTCATATGGGAGAGAGTAGAACTGCCCCGTAGGATTTCCAAGGTTGTAAATCTTTACAGAAGCAGACGACCTTATATTTTTTTTCCCCCACAGAGTAGCTGGTAGGTTTAAACCACTGATCTTTTAGTTAGCTGCCAAATGGCAAGCAAACGTAAAATTGACAAAAAAGAACAAACCTGTATGTCTTTTTCTTTTAATAATCATAATGCCTCGCTTTTGATTAGCAGACCCTAAAAAACTACATCACACTCCTGTGTCAACCATTGGTTCTTCTCAGCCTGTGACTCGACCATTGCAACCCATACAACCAGCACCTCCTGTTCAGCCCTCTGGGGTGCCAACAAGTGGACCATCTCAGACAACAATACACTTACTACCTACAGGTAATTTGCCAGATCAGTAAGCTGAAACTTCAGTTTTGCCTGCAGAAAAACATGATTTAAATGGAATGGAAAGCATAATTCTGATTGTTATTGTGAAGACTATTTATCTCTTGAATACAGTATAACTTAACTGGCCCTCTTAAGTAGCAGCTCTGGTAGAAAAAATGATTATAAGTCTTATAATTTATAGATGTCTATGTCATTGGCCACTGGAAACTGAGAAAATAAATGTAGTTTCTCTAGAAAAGATGAGTATAAATATTAGTTCTGAGTATAATCGAAAACGGACTGATCAAACAAGGATTTTTAAATGACTTCTAACTAGGTTTAATTGTCTTAACTCTAAAGAGCTGTACAGTAATAGTTTCCTTGCCTGCTGCTCAAAAAGGTATAAATCAGAGATTTAAAGGATATAATCTGTATATTCTAAGCTATTTTTAAACCAGTCAAGATAATTTGTTTTCTTGACAAAGCAGTTTATTGCTTAAAGATTTTTTTCTACAAACTACCTTTATAAGCACTCTTCTTAAGGTAACTGTTGAGTTCATATGGAATTTTATCCAATGGAATCTTTTCTGATAATACCAGGGTTATTTGTAGGAATAAGGATATTTTCTGTAGTGGTTTACCAAGCCATTTATTAATTAATCTCTGAATTGTTAAATTATTATTGATGATTTAGTACTTAAAAGTATGGTAATTATTGTGTGGAGTTGTTGGATTTCAGAAGCCTAGATGCTTATCTAAAATTTGCTATCAGTTAAATTACATTTGACTCTATTGGCATTGCTGTTGTTGTTATGTGCCGTCGAGTCGGACCCGACTCATGGCGACCCCTCCTTGGGTTTCCGAGGCAGTATCATTACAGAAGTAGAGTGCCCCATCTTCCTTCCGAGAAGTGGCTAGTGGGTTTGAACCGCCAGCCTTCTGGTTAGCAATCAAGTGCCTTAGGCACTATGCTACTAGAGCTCATTGCTAGTTAAAAGAATTGTGCTTACTGGGGTGGGGAACTAGTTGAGGGTAATTAAGTTTACTTATCTGTTCTCATCCAGGTTCCTATCTGTTCTAATTATCTGCCTTAACCAGGGTGGAGGAAATAGTTTTGACTTA